TTGTCTGGGGCTCTTCAAAGCTGGATCGGCAACTATGGGTGACGGCGGGTTTTCTACCTATTTCCACCGGGTTTTATAGCTATTTCTAGCGGTGTTCTAGCCGATTACTATCTATTTTCAGTGGGTTTTTTTAGATATTTTCCGGAAATTTTAAGCGGATTTTCTACCATTTCACGAGCGGGGTTTCTAGCACTGATAGCGGTTTCCTAGTAATTTTTAGTGACTTTTCTAGATATTTTTTGGGGAATTTTTAGTAGATTTTTTATACCCTGTACACAAAGGGTACAAGGGTATATTAGTTTTGTGCAGGTGCACATGGAACACACAGAAGGAGGCTTGGTAGACCCCACAAAGTACATATATTCTTGATCAGCATGACAAGCCGAGTCGATATAGCCATGTCCGTCTGTCCGTCTGTCTGTCCATCTGTCTGTCCGTCTGTCTGTCTGTATGAACGCAAGGATCTCCGAAAGTATAAGAGCTAGAATAACCAAACTTGGTATACAGATTCTCCTGAGACCCAGAAAGGACGAGTTTGTTCATTTTTTCTGATCCACCCCCCCCACTCCGCCCTATTAACGATTTTCTATAACTTCCGTAATTCTTGGAATTTTGAACTAAAATTGTGATTATATATCCGTATACCAAGTTTCATTATGATAGAATGATCGGAAAGAAAGTTATAGCCATATAACCAGTCCCAATGCACACATACATACATATGTACAAGTACACAAACACGCATAAGGCACGATTCTGATGTAAATGTAAATGTATGTATGCATGCATGGAATATTTTATATTTAATTTAGTTAATTAATTAAATTAATTTAATTACTTTTTTGTGGGGTGGTACATTGTACTTAAGAGTTGAGCCTGCTCGACTTTAGCATTCTTTTCTTGTTTTTTACCATTTCTCTAGCTACTAGAGATTTTTTGTTTTGTTTTGTTGTTTTTCTAGGCATTTTCTAGCGGGCTTGGTAGCTATTCATAGTGGGTTTTCACGCATTTTCCAAGGGGTTTTCTAGCTCGATAACCTATAGCGATAACCATTTCCTTGCAATTCTTTACCAGCCACATTAACATTAGCCAACATTAGCCGACATTGATAAATAATTATAAATGCTCCCCTCATCAAAAATTAACTCAAATTAAATCATTTCAATACAACTATTAAATTCCACTTCTATCGCGTGTCGCCCTGATACATAAGTTTTTTCTATAAATATAGTATGTACTTGTATAGTAGTTCTATTTTGTTATATGAAAATAAAAGAAAGTGCATTTTCGGAAAGCGTAAAGAATGTTGAATCACGAATCCATCTTTAGTATGCTGGCGAGTTCATTTTTTCGCATGCTTTATGTGTGCTCTATGCGTGTGTGTGTGTGTATGTATTTTGGTGATGCTGCTTCAAAAATGTTGTGCGCGACCGAAATCTCAGACACCAGCCTCGTATTGTGGCGTTTCACTTCGCTTTGCTATTCCAGCTGGAGAAAGTTCGGCGACGTCTGGCAACTTCATTGCCTTGGCTTCATTGTCAGTTTACCAAGTTTTTGCGTGCTGGCTGGGCAAGCCGTTATATTTGCCATTTTGTTGGTTTTATTGTTTGATGCAAAGAAAAAAGTGAGAAGGAACGAACGAGCGAATTGAAAAGAAGTAGAGGAGACCAAAAATTGACTGGCTTTGAGAAAACTTGTAATGGCGCCCCTCGCTGTCCCCTCTCTGTCCCCTCGCCACCCATCAACTTATCAGCCCCAAAATGGCGCACGTTTTCTTGTCTGCTGCCATTGCTGTGAATGTTGATACCCGTGGGAGTTCTGGCATTGGCAAACGCTTCAATACTATTTGATTTTGCATGCCAACAGTTGTTTAAAATTTAATGCTCAATTTGCATAAGTTTTCGAAGGCAACGCCCCTTCAGTATGCCACGACTTCTGCTAGCCAGGCAGGCAGGCAGGCACATAAAACAATTAAGAAAATGCAGCAGCTCACTGCACACACACATACACACACTCACACATGAGGAGCAAAAGGATTTTCGTTTTAGCATGTGGTTGAACAATTTTTAGCATCACACAATGCGAGGCAAGGTCCACAGAGTACTGAGCGTTGAAGCCGATGCTGAAGCCATAGCCGGCCGGAGCCGGCATTCAATTGGGGTTTGCCTTACATATTTCCAATTTACAGACTAGAGCGCGCGCACACACACACACACACGCACTCATCTAGTCAGACTAAATCAAACCAAACCGAAAAACCAAAACTGCAAAGCGTAACCAAAGTCATTTCGCAGTGCCAGACGCAGCTAGCACCGCACACTGGTCCGAAATTTATTCGAAAATTGGCACTTCTAGTGCAGTTTGTATTTGAGGAAGATGCCAACAATAGTGGCAACAATAGTATAGCAATACTAAGCTAGACTCGACTCCTACTTTGGTATTGCATGGGAGTAAAAAGAAAATAACTCCGTGAGAACAAAGTCTACAAATATGGTACAAGCTAAGAAAAAATGGTTTATTAGGTTTGTGGAATGAATGTATCCCATAAAGTATATATAGCTGTGCTCAAAATAATAGCAGTGGTTTCATAAATATTAAGTTCGTTCAAAAAATGTATGAAATGGTGTTTTAGTGAACTTAAAATAATTTGTACAATTGAGTATAGTATATTAACAAGTAAATCATAAAGACATAACAACAAATTCTGGTCATATAGCAATTTAAATAATTTTTTTCCCAAAACTTCATTAATTTGGTCGCTCAAAATAATAGTAGTGTTTCATTTGTAGGTCTCTTATTTGTCCCTACTGAGCCCAAAATTACAGTTATTATTCAAATTACTCAAATTAGGACTTTCTAAATATTATTGGTTTTTTTTTCTGTTTAATCAAAGCATTGAAGTCGTGCAGTCAGATTAGCACCTTAACAATACATTTTTACAAATATAAAATAGCCTAACCTCGACCACTTCCGCACGAGGATTAATAAGTTAGTGGCGGCTTATGCTTATCTTAATATTATTGGTATTTTGTAGCTTATCCATTTTTTGCAATAACTGCAACACGTTGCTTCGGCATGGAGTACACAAGACTTTGACATCTTTGAGGAGGAATGCAACTTCAGGCATGTCTCACTGCTTCCCAAAGTTGTTCAACATTAGTTGATTGGCAACTTCCTTCTTCAGCAGGACGATAGGAATTGATCTAGACATGTCCGTCTCTCCGTCTGTCCATATGTCTGAATGAATGCTTGGATTTTGAAAACGGCTCGGTTTACAGGGACTAAACTTGATCTGTTAACTCCCCTCGTTCCCAGGCAATACGAGTTTGTTTTATTTTTTGAATTCCCCTCCTCCTGCTACAAACTTTCCTCAATACTGCCCAATAGTTTCAAAGCTACAAACTATGCACAGGAAATTTAGACACTCGTATAATTCTCCCTTTTTTCAAAAATTACATCCAAACCGGTTAATACTTGTACTAAGAAAAGTTATTAGGCAAAACAATTTCACTCCAGTACTACAAACTTTTTTTTTTTTCTTCTGCTATAGGCGCATTTCATTGTCTCCTTTTTTTTATAAGTTATAATGATACAGAGCGGTCGCCTTTAAAACTATAGCTTGAGCCACTGTGTAAAATCAACGCCATGCTTTAGCATTTAGGAGGTACTGGTCAGTGCATTTGTGTGTATGGCATCGACATCTTGGCGTATTTATACCTTGTACCCAAGTTGTAAAAGGGTACACTATATTGGCGCGAATGTATGTAACACCAAAAAGAAGGTGTGGCAGATTCTACAAAATATGTTTATTATTGATCAACACGCTAACATTATTCGATATTTCCATATTCGTTCGTCTGTTTGCACGAATGTTTTCATCTTTTTTTTCTGTATCCCACTTTGTTGCAATGTTTGACAGTCTCCGAAGGGTATTTAACTGATGTTTGGTATGACTTAGATGTATCCGTGTATAAAGTTTTCAAATCCAATCCCAATTTAGAATGCCTCTGCCTCGAAACCATAGGTTGGACAAGTCTGTGAGTGGACCCTGTACCTATAGGGTTTGTCCCACTAAGTACGTACAAGACGAGTTAATTGAACCCTGTCTGTCTGTATGAACCCGTAGATCTGAGATACTATAAGACCTAGAGACGCCAATTTGCACACAGGTGGCTAATACGTATATGCATACGTTTCATAGTGATTGGTCAACTTTAAGGGAGTTAGAGCCATAAAGATAATCTCTGCCCAAGCTTTGTCCAGCAGCTGTTGCAATTCTTAAAGAATGCAGCAAAATGTTCCCCGCATGCACTGCTGGCGTTTGCAAAACACAGCAAGCTGCTAATGGAACACTAAACGGAACCCCCTACCGATCTCCAACTATCCACTAAGGACCCCTAAGGTTTATGTGGGACTGCCAACGACCGTCGCGACGGTCCACCGGGTCATCCTAACCTAACCTATAACAACTTTGTTTGTTGTGCTTTTTTTAAATTAATTTTTTTGGTAAATATTAGGTATAGGGCATTTCACCTTTGACGACACAAATCTATTAAGCCATGTCTGTCTGGCACCAAATGGGCTTTAATTGATTAACTACACTTGGTAAGCAGACTTTCCTAATCTGTAGGCAACATGCCTTCCCACTCGTCATAGAATTTCGTTCAATTTTTCAGAACTACTCATTTGTATATAGTTTTCTATGGAGTATGAAACAATTTATATCTCTAGCCTTATTTCCAGTTTCTTTCCTAAAAAGCTGGGCTTCGTTCTTATTATTTGGGGTTTGCTATATTCTTATGGAACGACTTACTATATAATATACTTTTTTTTTAAACAGGGTATCTCACAGTCAGGGACTTGCTGTAACATAGTATTTGTCTCGTTTATTATTAGTATATTGTGTTTTTTTCCCCTGCCAATCGTCTAGGGCTTTTTCCCAGCAACTATGTATGGCACTCTGAAAAGTGGCAGCAATGGCAAATGCCCAAATGACTTACCCTGATGATAATGGAATGCAGACGGCGACTGATGTTGCTGTTGTTGATGCTGATGGTGCTCTTCCACGTACTCATCATCAAGGAAACTTGCAGCCGGTTGTTGCTGGCGCTCGTGCTTTGGATGCACTTGCGTGTCATTTATTGTATGGCCAAAATAGCTGCTCAAGTAATTGGCTTGTGATTTTCGGGCATGGCCATGTCTGCTATTGCCATCGTAGTAATGCAGTTCACCCATATTGATGGAATCCATGTCATCATTATTTTCGTTGGCATCATCCGCAGCGGGAGCAACGGCAACAGAACCTTCATCATCATTATTTTTATTATTATTCTTATTATAATTGCTTGTAATGGCTTTCGCCATGTTTCTGCCTATGTCATAGTTATTGCCATTATCATAGTAGCGACCCCCGATGCCGTTGCCGTTGCCGTTATGCCGCTTCAGCTTACGGCCAACGATTTGTTGATGCTGCTGTTGTTGTTGTTGCTGTTGTGGTTGCGGGTTTCTAGGACCGTCTAATACACTTGAAATTGTTGTTGAAGTACTTGGTGTTGTACTTGATGTGGCTGCTATGCCTGTATTTGTTGTTGTCTGCAGTGTTGCTGTTGTGGTTGGCCGTGCTGCCGCCGCTATGCTTGTCGTCGTCTTTGCTGATTCATCATTGTCAATTGTGGACTTAATGCTTTCCGCCAATACTTCATCATTACCAAAATTGTCCTCGATATCGCCGATTGCCATAATGTCGGCATATTGCTGTTGTTGTTGTTGTTGCTGTTGCCGTTGCTGCTGCTGCCTGACCGTCATGCTGTCTACTTCTTCTTCGTCCTCCTGCTGTAGCTGTAGCTGCTGATGTTGCTGGTGTTGGTGCTGTTGCTGCTGCTGCTGCTGCTGCTCCTTACCCTCTTCCATGGCTGGCACCGTTGATTGGGCTGCCATTGCTTTATTAAATTTTCGTTCATTTAATATTTCAATAGAATCAAACAGCTGCTCCTCTGAAGGCGGCAACTGTTTGGGCTTCACTTTCGGCTCTTGGCTGTTGCCATTTGCCTGCTGCTGCTTCTGCTGTTCAGGATCCGGCTCCGGCTCTGGCTGTGGCTGTGGCAGTGGCTGTGGCTCTGGCTTTAGCTTCAGTTGTTGCTCTTTTCGCTTTTGTTGATTTTGCTGTTCGTGCATGTTCTTAAATTTTTTATACGCAAAACTTTTGCTGCCAACATTGTTCGCGTCCGAGCTCGCATCCACATCCATATCCACATCTACATCGACATCCACATCCACATTGTCCTCCTGCTCCTCTCCGTCGACGTTGTTGTTGTCGTCGTCGTCATCATCGCCGAAACTGCCACCATTGCCGTCAACGGAAGTGGATTTTGTAGCTGCCTCTTCATTGGCATCTTTCAAGCTGTCTTTATTGTTTTTGAATTTGTAGTTGTAGTGGTTTTTATTGTTGTTGCCGTTGTTGCTGTTGTTGCTGCTGCTCTTATTATGGCATTTCTTCGTCGCCTCTTTGTTGTTGTTGCTATTGCCAGCTAGGTAAACAGTGAAATTCTTTGAAGTGGGCCTTTGAGATTCAAGTATCTGCAAGAATACAAGTAATGCAGTAGACGCATGAGACGACCATGCCTGTGAAAACAATGCGCACCATAGAAGACAATAAAAGGCAGCGAAGACATACATATACTTGTACATACATACATATACACAGACATATCCACACACAAAAAGTAGTGCCAGCAAATGCCTTCCACAATATCTTTGGCATAGTTGTGGGCAAGCACGGAGGCACTGGAAAGGTAGCAAGAAGCTGAAGGAACAACAGCAGCTCTAGTTGATACTGCTGCTCCTAGGACGAAACAATAAAGGCAAACTAGCGCATGCCAATGCACACACACACACTCATACACACACACACACACACACTCAGGCAGGCAGGCAGGCAGGCAAACAATTATATTCAGTTTAGTAGGGAAACGAATTTTAGTGTGACCAGTCGAACGAATTCAAGATGGTCCAGCCAGAGCTTTATAATTTACTTTGTTTTGTTTTTAACTTTTTTCTCGCTTAGACTATTCCTGCAAGGTGTCAAAATACCATTACTTCGCTACTTAACCCTCTAATGCCTTATTTTTCTATCGGACTTAAAAAATCATTTTAGACTCATTTTTGGTCAAAATGAACGAATTTGAAGTTAGTTTTCCGATCATAAGCTTAGTTTACCTGTTACAGGTGAAAATATACACCCCGTCTTTAGGCAGGGTTGGGTATTTCGGGGTAACTTTTTTTTAGTGTGACCAGTCGAACGAATTCAAGATGGTCCAGTCAGAGCTTTATAATTTACTTTGTTTTGTTTTTAACTCTTTTCTCGCTTAGACTATTCCTGCAAGATTTCAAAATACCATTACTTCGCTACTTAACCCTCTAATGCCTTATTTTTCTATCGGTTCTTAGGTAGTGATAGTGTTGAAGCAGGTGATGCCGATTGTGATGATGGACGACCTCGACAACGGTCCGTCAGCTGCCGTAGGCTTGCTGACTGCAACTTTTTTTGACCCCGCCTAAAGGTAGGGCTGGGTATTAGAGGGTTACCTGTAGGTGACTGATCTTACCATATTTATCAAATCGGAAGCATGTTTTACTTCTCTAGTGACGAGCAACAAATCTGTCATTACTCTAGACTCAGGGAACAACTCAAAAAAATGAAGCCATTAAGTATGCTCCCAATATACTCGCATGATGTACATTGTCAAGCACTTTATTTACCTAAATTCTTATATTACTAAGTAGGGAAAAGCAATTTTATCTCGTACACTTCCCAAATCTATTAAAAAATGTCGCTAACTAAGAAATGCAAGAATTTTATGAGATGTTTGGGATTTTTTCTCATATTTTTTTTATAAATCTTACTTACTACTTTCTTAAATTTTGAATACTGGTTTTCCTGAAAGCATTTGCTATAAGAGCAAGGAACACCAAACTTTATATGACTTGCTTTATGTATGGAGCAGAGTAAGTAACAAACATATGTATTATTGCCTCATTAAGCAAATTTCGTATTTAGCAATATTTTTGAATGCCTCCCTGTAATGGATGAGCCCTAGACTAACGAGCTAGCAGGAATCCGACAATGCGAGTTTGTTCCCGGTTCGAATCGCCGCAACCCTCATGACAGAATCATGTTTGATATGTTAAAGTTATCATAAAATTTAATAATTGTCCTACCTAAGACAAATCTTAAATAAATATTAAAGATTTACAATATAGTATATAAATAAATAATGTGAGGAGTTTTGGGTACCACAAAATGATTTGCAGCTGAAAAGTCTCAGTGCAGAGCAGCGGGCGTATTAATGGCCTTCCTTTAAAAAATTGTACAGGAATTGTAACCCTAGAAGGATGCAGACTCTACATATTTGGTATGAGAGGCAAATTGACACTGCCATGCCTGTCTGAAAGCAAGGATCTTGGAAAGCATAGCAGCTAGAATAACCAAACTTTGTATCCACGTGCTTCTGGGTCTGATGAAGGATACGTTTGTGTTTGTTTATAGAAATCTTGTAATTATATAAGGTCAGAGCCTTTGTGTCCATTTTTGTTGTTGTAGTTGTTGCATTGGTTAAGCTTTGTATTATATAATAAATAAATGTGTAAGCGTATTTGCATAAATATTTTTAATTAATTTTTATTTAAAGCAATTAAATTTATATATTTCGCAATTTTTAGGGAGTGTTTTAAGAGTTGTTTTCTTACTTTGACAAAAGTAGAAGGAATATGGGTGTTTCTATGCAGATGAACAGTGCTGAACAAGGACAAAGTACACATACATATGAGCGGATTGTGTGTCCTCCAGAAAGGCAGTTAGGCTGGCGCATATGCGACAATAAAAGGCAAGTCGAAACTACCAAAGTTGTGAGTCTGCTGAGTGTCTGTCTGCCTGTCTATTTGTAGTTTCTTTTCCCCACCACTTTGTCACTCCTTTTATTGCCAGTATGTTGCTGCAAAACGCTGATTAGATGCGAGTTCATGAAATATACTATGTATTGGATTTGTGTAAACTTGGATAGATGGCAAGTGTGCGAATGCAAAAGCATTTGCCATATTCGTGCATACTCACACGTACTTATACACGTACTATATACATATATATAGTATGTGCATTCAAAAAGTGTATACAAAGCTCTTGGGGCCTCATAAGTAAGTAAATGCTTAACTCACAAAATTCGCTTAGGCAAGGACTGAGCGGTTGTGAGTAATGTGGCTATAATTCTTAGATAGTGCTGTTAATGTTTGCGTACGCGAGCTCAACACCTTTAAAGCAATACAGAGCTATCAATTATTTGCAGATAGTAGCTCTAACTTGAGATCTCTTGATGGTAGCCAAAAGTAATCGCTACACTATAATAATTATTATTACAACTAAACTAATATATTCGCGATGAAAAATCTATTTTCTCCTGCACTCCTTATTTATTTAAATATCAAAGTTTTCATTAATGGTCGATATGAATCATTTGCAAGGCTACATACAGCTTTGTATAATTAGCATGGTAGCAAGTATAATGGAAAAAATGTGGATACCCTTTAAGTGAAATATGCAAGGGTATATGGGCTTAGTGCAAAGTGAAAAATGTAATGTGCAGAAGGACGGGTTATTCTTGATAATGCTGATTAAGAATATATAAACTTTATGGGGTCGAACATGCCTCCCTTTCCCTGTTACATACTTTGCATAAACCTTTTAATAAACCCTTTTCAGCCATTGTGTATTGGGTACAAAAACATTTGATCTGTTCATTACTTTATATGGAGTTTAAAGAAGATGCTTCTTTTTATAAAGCTTTCGCTCTTCCAATTTCTATTGACAAAAGAAAATCCAAGTATATGCTCCCCTTGAAGTATGCAACATAGGTTTCAAAAATCCTGTAAGATTCTGCATGATTTTAGGAAGGGACTTTCGGAAAAAAAAACACTAAATTACCGTTTACTATTTAATTTAACTCTGGCAAGAAAAATGTAGACTTGCCACATGAGGTTCACGTCAATACCTTTATTCAAAATACTAGGCAGATAATGGAATGATTTAACCTTGATTTAAACGACAGTACAATTGTTTAATACAAGATTTTAGCAAGAAGTACTTATTGGCAAGTTTGAAGTTTAGTTTTTTTTACATAGTTTTTTACCACCTACTGGACTTAACCATAAGTATTGCTTGGTTCTTAATTACCGCATCACCTGGGTAACTTCTATCCTCAGTAGAATTCAGACTTGATGTAGAGGACATGCTTACCAAAATCGGAGCTATTGCAAAGTTGAGAAAACATTTTTTTTTTTTTTTTTTTTTGAAATTTATATACAATTTATTAAACTAGTATTCTGCTACCAATATAGCAACTTAACCTAGTTGCAAATGGGAAAACAAATTAGAAATAAAAACGAGAAAGGGTCTCATACAAAAAATGCCAAATAAAACTGTGCGCTGAGATAAGTTTGACGATTGGCCTGTTTCGACCGAAAATACCCCAAGGGCACAGGATTCTCTCAAATGCGTGAAAAGTGCGGAGTTGTAATATCTTTTAACAAAAGAAATAATTCTTTCAAGAATTTTCACACAAATTAAATCAATTTCTAAGTTTTCAAAGGATTTGAAGCACATTTACTAGATTTGGTTTATGTTCAATTTATTTGAGAGAGATCTTTGCTTATAAAGACATATACTAAATACTCAATACATATGCTTAAACACATTAAAAAGCATATTTTTTATTTTCATTTTCCTTAAATATGGACTAAAGATTTAAAAAATAAATATCTTATTGATAAAACAAAAATTATTTAAATCGGTGATTGTGGCAAATAAAGTGTTTATATGACTGCCAATAGTAAATCACAAAAATAACCCAACTTATAAAAACACAGCCATTTAGGGAGAAAGCGGAGAACTTTAATATTGGTCACCTTTGGTTGGTTGGTTTTACCTTTTGCAAAATATTTCGTTCAAAAAACCACAAAAGAATCTCTTACAAACAGAAGAGTGACAAATTACAACTCTCTATAAATAAACCTGATATATTATATTTATTTGGTATTTTTATTCCAGCTTTAGTTTTTCTTTAGTTCATATTTATTTTTTTTTACTGTTGTGCCACATACAAGCCTTATTTTTTGCCCGATAAATTCGTTATGACGAGACGAAGCGATATTGACTGTTTTATCTGTTCGTCCGTCTGAACAGCTAGAACTTTTGAGGCTTAAGAGCTAGGGTGATCTAACGTGGCATGTAGACGTGTCTACGCAAGCTATATATGGTATAAAAAGCTTTATTATTTTCTGAAGCTGTCGTAGGACCGATCGGTGGAAAAAGATAAAGATATCTTCTTGCTTTAGACAAGACATAAACACTCACAGTGCATCGAAAAAATACTAATAATTACCTAGATCTGGCCTAACTTATAATTCTCAATATTCTAGCCTTCATGTTGATGGGCAGATTGGCACACCGATTCCAATCACTTCGAAGGAATACTCTCCCACATTGTTTCTTTAATGGAGACTGTCACTTGCGTACGGAAAACTTTCATGAAATAAGTACTATGTACTCGCCTATGAGGCCTACATCGACCTGCTTATATAAATGTCGTCATACTTAAGAATTCGTTTTAAATGTAATTTGTTGTCTGTTCAATATGCTTATCTCTTACAAGTTGAATAGATGTGGCCGAATGCATTGGGCATTGTCCGAGAAAAATGCTGCAGGGCAGTCGCAGGCTTCACAACATTTTCATAGGCAACCCACACAAGCGTACAAGAAGCAAACACACACCCACACAGACACACACACACACACCCGTAAATACACGCATAGAGCCGCATTTAGAGTGAGCACGCAAAAGTAATTTGACATGAGCACATTGTGCGGCATTTCAATGCATATCTTCTGTGTGTGAGTGTGTGTGTGCTCTGGTTCAATAAAACTGACCTCATTCGGCATACATATATGTATGTACATATATGGTATAACGGGCAGACCTTTAACCCCAACAACAAACTCAAGTCCAAGCTATTCACACAGACACAGATAGACTGACAGACAGACAGACAGACAGACAGACATACACCCATTACGACAGACATTCGCACACATTCTGCCAAATGGCTTAGCTTAGAAATGCATACTCACAATATCAGCAGCTTCTGATTCATCATCAGCATCAACATCCTCGGCATCCTCGGCAGCATATTGCAGCTTGGAGGCATTCGTATCCATATCGTTGGCATTGGCGGTCCTGCTCATACCCATACCCATACTCAGGCCCATGTCCATGTCCATTCCCATGCCTATTCCTAGGCCCACACCCACATCAATGTCAGAGGCGCCCATGTTTTTGTTGTTGTGGTGGTTGTTGTTGTTGTTGTTGCTACCAGAGTGGTCGTCATTGCCATTTGGTATGTGTCGTTGGTCAAATATGTCCTCGGGTATGGAGGCCTCTTCTTGTAAATTGAAATCTACCAAAGAAAACAAGAGAGATGATGCAGGTGAGCAAAAAGATACGAAAAAGAATTTGTTCATGAAACGGAGGCGCAATATATTCCAAATTTGTATGCGTGTGTGCATTCATGTGTGAGTGTTTCTCACTGTTTGTGTGTGTGTGTGTGTGTGTATCCTTACAATAAAATAACAGGCAACGAAAAAAAAGAATGCCAAGAGGTAGGATAGAAAAGAAAGGCCAAGCTTCAAGTACATTGCGAGCAGATGAAGAAAAAAATAATTCATGTATGGATTTCTTTAGCTTTTTACTTTAAAAAAAGTAAGCTGCTTGAATTGACTTCCACTTTGTATTGCATACGTGTGCATGTGTGTGTGTGTGAGACACTATTGAAATATTTCAAGCGTCGCACATTTGTGTGATACACATATACATACATACATACATACTTATACCTGAACTTATATGTATGCATGCATGAACTGAAAAAATAGGTTTTTACTTATAGTTGAATAGACAAGAATTTAGCCTGCTTGCGTGCGCGTGTGTGCGTGCGAGTGTGTGTGTATGTGTGTGTCTTTTATGCGCTGTCATTGACCGAATTGCCATTTGGGTAACACACACACACACACACACACATCCATGCAGATGAAGATACCCACTCCCACAACACACTTACACTTGACATGCAAGATTAAAATAAAATGGCATCAAAATGTATGTAGAGCGTATGCAACGATAAAAGGCAAGCAAATTGCGAGTGAAATTCTTTCAAAATGTATGCCAAACAAACATATCGTGCACATACACATACATACAAATATATGCAACCAAAAATTTATATGTGCATGTGATTGATAAATAAGTATATATAGACAGAAAGTAGCCACAAATAACAACTTATATGTTGTGTGCCAATTTGTCCTGACATTGTGGCACATATTTTTACATTCATATGCGATTTGTCAACAAGTACAAGTAAGTGGCACGTGGCACGATAGTCACTTAATAGTGGATAAAGAGCAAACAAGAAAATCGCGCACACGCCCCACAACCTTAAAATTTGCCTAGGGATTACGAGATCCATACCACATTCCACGCTAAATCGGATATGCTTCCCGATCTTCTATACCCTTATTACTACAGGTTGGTTTTAAAAAGATAATATTGTTTGTGTTGATCTCTACCACTCCGGCTTTTAATCACCTGCACTCGTAAAAAAACACACGCAAATCTAAATATATTTGCCGTTGATTTTTCCCTACAGTGCACAGCGGGCCGGATTGCCAAATAATTGCCATAAAGTCAAATATATCAGATATTGAACTGAAACTTCGTATATTTCATAAACATAACACTCTAAATATTAAAACAAAATTTGAAGAAAATTGGACCAGGTCTTCCCCGACTGCCCACATAAGGCAACATAGCGTATACATGATCATAAAAAAAAGTTTTACAAGTAAGAGCTGTGAATATTAAGCCAACATTTGAAAGGGAATTGGCCTTTTCTATAATGTTTTTAAAGAAAATAGTAATAAAAATATAATAAATTAATAATAAATCATTTTTATAACCCAGTTCTTGCTTATTAAATTATATATGTATTATTTATACATGTATTCAACAATTTTTATTTAGACAAATTATCAACAAGTTGTTATCTCCAGCTAATTCAAACGAAAATCCATTTATGTCCTCTGATTCCGAGTCATCATGAAGCCTGTAGTCATTAGTTGAAGACTGAACATTATTAGGAATAATATTATGGGGTGCTTCTAAAAGCTTAATCGTGTGGAAGCGTTTGTTTTTTATGTCGAGTTACCCTTGTCTTAATAGATATACTTGAGATAAGGAGATCTGAAGAGTCCATGGTTTTTTGGAATACATCTATTATATTATTTATGGCCGCATACACTTTTGCAAAGTTGATTTATCATAAACTTCAAAACGTCCTACTGTTGGACTAGTTTCAACGCCTTTTTTTTTTTATCGGAAAGCGAACATTCCCTTGGTTGACCAAAAATCCAGTTTGCCAACGCAAAAAGCCGGAAACTGGATTATAATTAACTTTTAATATACACTTTCTACTTTATGTTAACATACATTACATAACGCGAAATACGGAGAAGATCTTTTTTTACTCCATAGAAGACTAGCACTTTGTTTCAGGTTTCTCTTTTTTTGGACAATACAAAACAGTACACAAATGTAACATTTAACAAATTTGAACACAAAATGTTTTTATTAAGTTCATTCTACAAAACGTGGCCCACAATCTCAATTTTTTATTATATTTAATTGGTAAAGCATGTAAAATTGCCAAGCGCACAAAGTTAAGAAAAGTTTCTCGCTAATTTCGATGAATAATCATCTCACTTTGAAAGTCGATCAACATTGCAGGAATCCATTTTTGGCGAAAATATTTATTGATTCTTCATATATAGACAATCAAGCTTGAGCATATTTAATTAAAATTTGCAGTTGGTTCAACAACATTTTCGACTTTATGCCAATTATTTGGCAGTCTGGCCCAGTGTGCCGTGTGTTGGTTATAAAAATAAAGTGAATTTCGTGTTTATTATTAAAATATATACAGCTTACAGTGTGATGAAATTTAATCACCAATGATGACGTGGACGTTCAATTTTTATAATTATAAAATATGTTTCCCAGTTTTTTGTTTACTCTACTAAAAGCTGTATTTATATTGTTTTTAATAATGACATTTCGCAATGCATATTACACATATTTATTTATGTAGAACATTTTCATTAGTATGTAATTTTTTATAAATGTTGACATTTTCCGCTATTTTACTTAACGACCATATATGTATTTGAGCATGACACACTTTAATGACAGATTTACCCTTTATTTTACATATTATTTATATTTAAATTAGTAATTGAGTATGTTTTTAGTTTATTTACGTTATTTATATTTGATTTAAATACGAAATATTGGAACATAGAATTTAATATGAAAATATTCATTGAGTGTGTGGATTATACTAGTTCATTTTCTTTTTTTTAATCTCCTATTCTCCGAGTTTTATTTCAATATGTTTAACCAATGCTATATAATCCATGTTTAAATTGCTTCTATTTTCTATCTCTTACTATTCCTCTCCACAGAAAGTAAGGTAAGTTAGACGTTATGTAGCTTTTTTAAATTATTTGATTCTCTTCACAGCATTATTATTCAATCTGTTTATTAATTCCCTCCTTTTCGTTTTTTCATACACTCGCATAAGAACCCTCTACATTATATTAGTCTGCAGGACGATCTGAACTTACTTACATATAGTATGTGATTGATATCGTGGCATTGCAACGTATATCGGTAATCGAAGAATTTTGCGCATATTTTGACAACAAATTAAACTTCAATCTTCATATCGCTTTTATTGTAAGCAAGGCGAATGGTTTGAAGGATTCATTAATTATTGGTCCTTAAATCTCAGATACTGTACGGATTTGCTTGAATACGCCTCATCCGCAATATTAATATCATAATAATTGGAGTAAGTCGGTCCAGCAACAATTCCTAGCACCCCCCATTCTCAAGCAACGTTTTATTTTTTTATCACCCATAAAACAACATTTCTACTAGCATATATTTCAGTAGTTAATACTACTCTCTGTTCTCTCTCAAACCTTCACTTTTTTCGGCAAAAACTCTGACCACGATTGTACTTGCTAACATTGCTTTTATTTTGTCATCTACTTAGTATAACTTTAGACCTTTTAAGCAACTATTAATTTGATCGAACAGTATATGTCAAAGACTTTTGAGAATAAAGAAATCTTATTAAAATAATATTTTTGTACTCGAATTTTTAAGCTGACAGTTCATTTCCTACTGCACAATGATCCCAATAGCTGATATTTTGTCATAAATTAAAAAAATAATTCCAGATGTTTGAATTTCAGTATAGTTCTGATAAGCATTAAAAGTATCGTAATATATTTTTATAAGATAACTTAATTATAATTATTATTATTTTTAAATAACAATATTGAACACATATTTTTTGTAGAAAGAGATTTTATTTATGAATATGAATTGTTGTCGCTCTGCCAATTTGAGTTGTATATAATTTTGGGCTCTTCCAGGAGGCCTTACAACCTCTTTAGGTAGCTCCTTCATTTTGTTAGACAAAAACTAGACGTGAAAGGGTCTGAAGAGTCCACAGCTCTGTGAAATCCATCGCTTATGTTGTTAATTCGACTATTTCCACTGTTTGGCATCGGTTTCAGAACAAAATTCTTAATGTTTCCCGATGGGTATGGGAATACTTTAAAAGACCCAACTAACGAATCGCTTTGGTTCTAAAAAATCTCATTGGGCGTATTACAATTATACTTATTACCTTCCTACATACTATGTATACAAGTAGTAAGTATATCCATATCCAATATGCATCTTTGCACACATCCCATTTGTAATGTGTACTTTTTTGGAGTAAACGAATATGCATGCGCAAAAAATGTAAATTCGTTAAAACTAGGGCAACTGGTTTTCAAACAGCACATAATGAATGTACACATAATTATGCATAAGTGCTGGGGCCATAAATGTGTAAAAAAGCCAACTTGCCATAATGGTTTAATTAACAGACTGGACCACACCATACATACTACACCATACAGCATACGGTCTCCTTACGAGCATACCCGTACACTGCCACTGAACAGGATAATGTCTGTATGTAAAAATGTTTGTTTGTATACGAGTAGTGGATGTATTGTGGAGCCTGTTGGCCAGTTGCTTCTATCTGCCTATTAATTAGACTAAACGGCTGACGCAGCGGGCCTTGGAATGGTGCAGTGGGGAAAAAGCGACCAACTTTGCGCCACCGACGGATTGCAGTGGTTATGAATGCTGTGCGCTGTTAAAATATGCAACATCCTCATTATAAGCGTAATAATTAAACTCTAGAGTGCCACAAAATTCAAATATGCATAAGTCTTGCTGTGTGTGTGTGTGTGTATGGTTCTACCTGTATGTGTGTGT